CTTGTAAATTGTAATGCGGTAAAACAGAGGAACGTGTCGCCTGAACATTACTTGTAAATTGTAAAGCGTTAACAGAGAGGAACGTCTCGGCTGAACATTACTTGTAAATTGTAATGCGGTAACAGAGAGGAATGTGTCGCCTGAACATTACTTGTAAATTGTGACGCGGTAAAAGAGAGGATTGTGTCGCCTGAACATTACTTGTAAATTGTGCCGCGGTAAAAGAGAGGAACGTGTCGCCTGAAAATTACTTGTAAATTGTGACGCGGTAAAAGAGAGGAATGTGTCGCCTGAACATTACTTGTAAATTGTGCCGCGGTTACAGAGAGGAACGTGTCGCCTAAACATTACTTATAAATTGTAACGCGATAACAGAGAGGAACGTGTCGCCTAAACATTACTTGTAAATTATAATGGGGTAACAGAGAGGAACGTGTCGGCTGAACATTACTTGTAAATTGTAACGCGGTAAAAGAGAGGAACCTATCGTCTGAACATTACTTGTAAATTGTAACGCGGTAACAGAGAGGATCGTGTCGGCAGAACATTACTTGTAAATTGTAACGCGGTACAGAGAGGAACGTATCCTCTAAACATTACTTGTAAATTGTAATGCGGTAAAACAGAGGAACGTGTCGCCTGAACATTACTTGTAAATTGAAATGCGGTAAAAGAGAGGAACGTGTCGCCTGAACATTACTTGTAAATTGTAACGCGGTAAAAGAGAGGAACCTATCGTCTGAACATTACTTGTAAATTGTAACGCGGTAAGAGAGAGGAACGTGTCGCCTGAACATTACTTGTAAATTGTAATGCGGTAACAGAGAGGAACGTGTCGCCTGAACATTACTTGTAAATTGTAATGCGTTAACAGAGAGGAACGTGTCGGCTGAACATTACTTGTAAATTGTAACGCGGTAAAAGAGAGGAACCTATCGTCTGAACATTACTTGTAAATTGTAACGCGGTAAGAGAGAGGAACGTGTCGCCTGAACATTACTTGTAAATTGTAACGCGGTAAAAAAGAGGAACGTATCGTCTGAACATTACTTGTAAATTGTAACGCGGTAAGAGAGAGGAACGTGTCGCCTGAACATTACTTGTAAATTGTGCCGCGGTTACAGAGAGGAATGTGTCGCCTAAACATTACTTGTAAATTGTAACGCGGTGACAGAGAGGAACGTGTCGGCAGAACATTACTTGTAAATTGTAACGCGGTACAGAGAGGAACGTATCCTCTAAACATTACTTGTAAATTGTAATGCGGTAAAACAGAGGAACGTGTCGCCTGAACATTACTTGTAAATTGTAATGCGTTAACAGAGAGGAACGCGTCGGCTGAACATTACTTGTAAATTGTAATGCGGTAACAGAGAGGAATGTGTCGCCTGAACATTACTTGTAAATTGTGCCGCGGTTACAGAGAGGAATGTGTCGCCTAAACATTACTTATAAATTGTAACGCGGTAACAGAGAGGAACGTGTCGCCTGAACTTTACTTGTAAATTGTAATGCGGTAACAGAGAGGAATGTGTCCCCTGAACATTACTTGTAAATTGTGCCGCGGTTACAGAGAGGAATGTGTCACCTAAACATTACTTATAAATTGTAACGCGTTAACAGAGAGGAACGTGTCGGCTGAACATTACTTGTAAATTGTAACGCAGTAAAAGAGAGGAACGTATGGTCTGAACATTACTTGTAAATTGTAACGCGGTAACAGACAGGAACGTATCGCCTGAACATTACTTGAAAAGTAATGCGGTAACAGAGAGGAACGTGTCGACTGAACATTACTTGTAAATTGTAATGCGATAACAGAGAGGAACGTATCGCCTGAACATTACTTGTATATATTCATTAGATAACACAAATGAACGTTCCGTCTGCACGTGATTAATACATACTTGTTTTGATGTAAATACCATTATGTTTATCTTATCGACGACGTTTATATTGCTTGTTACAAGTTGATGTTACACTGGGGGCATACATAAGTAAAACGATTCTACGGCTGACTTCAACAACATTGAGAATTTGATTGCAGAACGCATTACGTTTTGCTGACGAACAACTTTATTTTATAACTACTACTCTTCTGTGAAACAAAGCAATGTATTATTTCGTTAGCACAAAACAAATCATTAACAACGGGAACCGAGAAAAAATCACACGGAATAAAATTAAAAAAACAAGTTCAGCGAAAACATTGATACTTTTTCTGCCCCATATGTGTGGTGCCCTTAATGATTGTCTACCAACTGGTTCCGGACAGAATTCGGTCATCAAATATTTATAATACTTTGACCACTGAATCAGATAAGTACCGATATGGATCAACATTATCTCTTTAGCATCATCGATACTCGATGAGTTACGCTTAGTTTCCCTCTCTGCGCCCGCCACTAGAATATATGTCATGAAAAATCGAAGGCTCGCTGTACACAACCTTTTGGGTGAGACGCGCTTGGATGTACACTTAAAGAATCTCGCGGTCGCGTAACAGCAACATGTGACCACGTATTAACCTGATACCAACCAATTAGCTAGCCGCGGGCCCTCCATTTTGGTATGACATATTCCAGGAGTGGAGAGAGCGAAAGTGAGCGTAGCCCCTTGGGAATCGATGCTGTTTCCACAGCTGAGAGAACGACTTGGTCATTATATAAAATCTGAAGTAATCTCGTTCGCACAGAATTGTTAGGCATAAAAATCGACATCAGCTGGGTGTTCAAATCATTCAAAATCAGAAGCATTAGAAGATACTGTTTGTAAGTCGTTTTCTTACAGCTGATAATACACACGAGATCTCAAACACATGCTGTATATGTGTCTCAACCACATGTTGTATATGTGACCACGTATTGTATATGTGACCACGTGTTGTATATGTGACTACGTATTGTATATGTGACCACGTATTGTATATGTGACCACGTATTGTATATGTGAC